GGAAGGGGGCGGGGGGGGGCTAACCACAGAAAGCAGAGGAGAAAGAAGCAGCGGCGCTTAGGCCTCGCCTCTCCTCGTCACCCTTGGGCGGGAGACGGAGCGCAGCCAGGCCCAAGCCGCGCGGGCGCTTCCCGGTACGTCCCCCTCCCCCACCAACCAACCAGGCAGGCAGGCAGGCCAGGGCCTAGGCCTGGCTCAAGCTGGGGCCTTTTCCAGCGCCTGTCCGCCGCCCGCCCGCGCCTCACCTGCTCCAAAAGGCTACTAGCCGACATTGCTCCGCTCGGCGACGGCGGCAGAGTTCCGACGAGGGGAAGGGAGCGAGGAAGGGAAACAAGGGGGGGGACAGAATGGAGAACCGGGCTGAAAAGACAACGGCGGCTTTGTCCGGGAAGGCAAGCAGGCACACCGCGCTCGCTCGGCTTCCTGGCGGACACTGACTAGCTCGCCCCGCCCGCCGTTGCTGCTCCTCTTGGCCGTCGCTCGTTCTGCGTCGCCACTCTAGTCCTCCCTTGCTCCTCTCTATCGTCTCTTCCGCCAGCGCGCTCGATCAGAAGCCTCAAGAGCGGGAGGCTTGGGAAGAGAGTGAGCATGCGCATCGGCTTGCCTCGGTTTCCCTGCACGCTCAGGGTAAATGTTATGTAGGAGAGTAGGGGAAGGTTGTTGAGCGCGACCTAAAAAATGGGGAGACGGGGGCGGGGAGTTCATTTGTATCAGGAGCAAATGACAAACGAGTGGGGACGGCAGCAGAGTTGCAGAAATATTGCAACATTGTTGTGTCCACTGACCGCCACCTGAGGTCAGCACACACACCTGAGCTTCAGTCCTGGACAACAATGGGGACTAGGATCCTAGCCCTACACTGGGGAACCAATGGGAACCATGGCGGGAGATTCAAACCCACCAATGGTGACCAGGGGGGTGTCCCCAGGTTTGTATATAGTTGGCCTGCCGGCCGTTCGTTCCTTCTTCTTGTTGTGTACTGAATAAAGCGTGCTATGCACCACTACGGAGTCTATCGTTTGTACGGGCGACCACCCACTACATAACAGTGGCGACGAGGATGGGATGCTCGCCCTCCCAAACAACGACCCTAAGCCGCGCAGCCAAGCCGGACCTCAAGAGCACAGCGCACGCCGCTCGCCGGACAGCCGCACGTCGCCAG